ACTTTCAAAATTAAATTTGGGATCATCCAAAGTCTTATTTCAGCAAAATTATTGTCAAATTGAACATCTCTAGGAGACGAACTCAACGACATAAAATTAAGTCCAATCCGACTACAAATCAAAGAATTAAAACATATTTGAAAGCTTTAAAGCATTAATTTTATAACCAAATAATCTCTAAATATGACATGCTTATAATCAAATCAAGTGGCTCAACAAGTCGAATTCCATGAGCTCGTAACTTCTTAATTTTGACATCATTAAGGCACTTAAATGCATGATAAACGCTCTATGATCAAGAGAATCAATATAAGCCATTCTCTGGAGCACTCAAGAAAGCTAAGAGTATGCAAGAATTTAAGAGCTCCACCCCGATGCTACCATCATTAAGGCACTTACATGCTTGATAAAGGCTCCTACTACGGTCTTTTTGACCTCCGTCACCCACGGACTATGGTCTCTCCTACCAATGTTGCTTGATTATGACCCTTCCAATCATCGTTGTTTGACTATGGTCCCTCCGACTACTATTAACCAATTACGGTCATTCCGACATTTGTCATCCACTGACTACAGTCCCTCCAACCGTTGTTCGAATATGATCCTTCCGACCACAGTTACCTACCAACTATGGTCCCTCTGACCATCATCGACCATTATCGCCTTACTACAGTCCTTTGACCTCCGTTTCATTTTTCTTTCATTTTTAATTTGCTATTTTTTAAGTCCTTCAAACCAAACAGAGCCCAAAGAATATTCAGCAAAAATTCAGGCCCAGTTCAAAAGCATTATGGGCCTAATAAAAATCTATCGATAAAAAAATTTTAATAGACTTATATTCTCCACTCAATTTGGTTAAATTTAAATAATATAAATTAAAAAAATTTAATCAATTTTGTTTATTATTTTTAGTATTTTAAGAAGGAATATTTATTTATATTTTAAATTTAATTTTAAAATTTTAACAAGAGAATTTACATTAAAAATAATATATTTATTTTTTTTTAATTTTTTATTTATCATTAAATTGTTTTTATAAAATATGAGATTGGTTTGCTAAGAAAATATGATTTAAAAAGCACAAATAATTTATCAAAAAACTTATAAATATAAAAGTTAACCTACTTTATAATTATGAACGATATCTTATAATGATAATGAAATTTGACCAAAGAATTTCAATTTTTTTGAAAAATTAACAGACTTAGTATTTTTGTGTAAGATATTTATTTGATATAAAAATATAATTAAAATGAATTTAAAAATTAAAAATTAATTATAATTATTGATTCATAAATACTTATATATATAAATATTAAGTATATTATTATTTTTTTCAAAGCTTTCAAATTAAATGTGGTTAGATATCTATGATGGGTGAGGTCTAACAACCATAAAGAATTAATACAGATACAGTCTTTAAAATATTTTGGTGTATTCTCTTTTTCTTGGCTTATAAATGATTGCTGGAAGGGTTAGAGACAACTTACATATACAATAAACAACACTGACTGTTTAGCTAACTACTTTGGTTGGAAGTGATCCAATTAGCTAGTTTGCTGACTTATTTTATAAGTGTATCTTATTTCAACTCAAATCTTATGCTTTGTTTGGGAGCTTAAGAGCATATACATGCTCTAGGCTGAGGTAGAAGATATTTGAATAATGTGTCAAAACGAGTTTTTAGTCAAATCCGGAATTGACCCGGGTCCAACGGGTTGAAGCTAACCCGACCCAATTTTATAATCAGGTCAGAATTTTCAACTCTGTCCCGACCTTCTGGGTTACATGGTTGACCCAACTCACTGACTTGAATCTCATTCTTACCAACGCGGGTAGTTCGGGTGCGAGCTGTGCAGGTGTAGGGGCCCTGTGCATACGACCTTTCGGGCGAGCGTGGCAATGTAGGCGTAGGTCTGGGTGTGGTTCATGCGGAAGCGAGTGCACAGGGCACGTACGCAAGAAGCCCACAGGTGTGGTGTGGATACGAGCGAGCAAGAGCATGCGCAGGCACAAGCTCAGGTTTGATTGCGTTGTGGGCAGGGCGCGAGCCCGGGATCGTGCTGCAGGCCAGGTATATGGGTCATTTCAGTTTTCCATGTCAACTTAAATCGACCAGATTTTGTAAATGGGTTGAAGTCTCAAACCCGAGCCCCATCCATATGGCAAACAGGTTGACCCAAACTTAAAAGTTTTTAGATAGGATCCAGGCTAGGTTCCGGGTCGGGTCAAATAATGAGACCCTTGATTAGTTGAAGTCATAGATCAACATGATATATTGCCTATACGAAGAGTTAAAAAGTGAAGAGAGAATAATATTTTCTTGGTAATATTGTGTTGAATATGATTGTGTTGATCAATCCAGTTGTACTATTAACTTAGACCTCAATTCAATTGGTTGATTTCGCAAGGGGTTGCAAGGGAACCTCCCTTATTTTGGGTTTGGGGGACTTGCCCTCGATTTTTTTTTGTTCAATCATATAGTGTTGAGCCACTATATACTTTAGCACTGCAGTGCAATACAACCGTGCTAGTTAGAGACAATGAGCAGAGCGAAGTGGTGCTTCAAACCTGGGCCATGCAACATTGTCAACCAATCTTGAGATAGAGAGTAGAGAGCTAAACCCCATCGATGTGGCGTTGCGAGCTAGCTAGTGCAGTTGAAGAGTATGAGTGTATCACACTAAAGAGCATGCATGTGAAGAGTAAAGAAAAACAAGGTGAGAGTGAAGGAGAAAGACCTATGTATAATTTCTCACAATTTTCATAGTGAATTTCTTAGAGTGGCGTGGCTTCTTGATTTTTTCCCAGTTTCAATTTTTTCCATATTAAATCTTGGTGCTCTTTCTTTTCACTACATTTTCTCTTTTTTTTTTTCTTCGTAAGGCATTTATTCCCATCATTAACTAAGATTCTCCATGTTAAATCTTTGAGATAGAAAGCAAATGGAAGCATATCTTGATACATTAAATAATCCTAAATTTAATTTGCTCACTTTAATCTAAAGTTTAAGATAAGATATAATACACACTTAATTACATGCATGTGTTATCACACATATTTAACTATTTTCTAACACAAAGATGATACAAATGCAATGAAAAAAAAATAATAATAAACAATTTCTAATTTTGTCCTAAATATCCAGTAACAAAGTTTGCTTACATAATTCTATAAATAATTAATCATTAGCTAAAGAACAAACTTAGGGTTTAGTAACTGATGTCATGAATGAAGCCTATGTACGTAGTTTATTAATGATCTATGACTTTTATTGGTTAATTATAAATTATAATTAGTGATTGTGATCAGCATTAATCAGTGCGTCAAATAATTAAACTTACTTTAAACGTCATCTTTGTTTGTAAAATATATATATGCCATAAAAATTTATAATATTATGTCTTTTTTTTTTTTTTTTTTGTTTAGCAGCTCGTTCCTCTTGCAACATTTCAATTAAGAAATTATAATAACGAGTATTGACTTTGAATTTGTTAGGGCATCTCCAACCTCACTGCGTTTGCAAACTCAGTTCAAGAACTGAGACTCTACAGTGCGGACACCGGACGGGAGAACCGCTCGGTATTGCGCTCGGCACCGAGTGCGGTACACTTTTGAGGTGGCGTGATGCATTTTTATTGGTTTTTGGACGACGTCCGGTGTGCCTTAGAAAGGCGCAAAAAAAATTACACAAAATAAATATAAAAAATTATATATGATGTGATTAATACAGATAGACATACACGTGAACTAGTTTGATGATTTACCCAATGAGCATTATCTCTGGCCCCCTCCTTTCATGTGAATAACTTGGGCAAGTCTTGTAGGGCAAGTGCCTTGAGGGAGTCTTCGAGGCTTAGCATGTGAGGCGAGTTTATTAAAGTGAATCTCTAAAAACGGGAGAAAAACTCCTTTGAATGACAAGTGAGTCTCATGGGTGGAAGTGGTTGTTAGTCACGGAAGAGTTCAAACAGTGAAGTCGTGGTGATGGCCTGATGGGCTTCATAAGCATGAGCTTTCTATAACTCCATCGGGGACATCTGCAATAGGCAGGTGACCTGAATTAATTGCGAACAAACTTGCGGTGTCCGGATCGTTCGGAGGTGAATCCGGGCGCACCACGTCACCCCGATGCACCGGGTCCGAGGTGATGTGGCGCGTCCGGATTCTCATCCGGATGAATCCAGACACTGCACGTAATAATTTGCCCTGCTAGGGATGGCACCTCTCCACAAAGACCTGCTTAGGCGAGCCCTTTGAAAGACCCTGTCGAAAATGATTGCACCTTTGGCTTAATCTTCCAAGGTCTCTGTAAGGGGAAGTGACCTTTGCTCGATCGCAGGGAGAAAAGCTTTCTTTGGGCAATTTGTTATTTAGACTGATCAATGCTCATAGTCGAGCTCCTTGATAGGACAGGGCCTATTTAAATACTTAACGAGTTATCTACGTATATATGTCTATAAGATCCTTATTTGCCTCCGAAACTTTTCAGATCTTTTACTTCTTCTTTTAAAACTTCTTAAATCTATATTCCTCTTATCAACATATACGGTTTGTTGATCTGTCAGTGTCCTCCTCATATTATTCTAAGTCAGCCAGCCATGCAAATTTGATTTCCAGCACTCTTAGATGAAGTGTACTAGTTAATCCCAAGTCTCTATCACTTAGGTTACGGAGGGGAGAAATTAACAGTGATTTATTTGTTAAACTCTCTTAATTCAAAGCTAAAAGCTTTCATTATCAAATCAAATAGCTAACTAAACACGTATTGTTCTTCCAAATGTTAATTAATTTCCACTAAAAAACAGTCGACTGTCCCCATCTGATGATGGCTTAGCTTCAACTCTTCAATCATACTACTTACCAAAATGATTCTCGTACCAACTCCTTTAATAAATCTAAGCTTAATTATATCTCTTCTCACTATATAATTATACCAAATATCTCCCTTCTTCTCCCAGCACTAAGAATTCATATATCAAACTCTCTGCATGGCAAATATGCTTACAGTCTTTGCTTCATCTATCCTCTTAACGATCTTCTCTATTCGTTCCAGTTCTAATGCTCTTAACATCAACTACTATAACAATTCTTGCCCGAATGTTGAAAGCTTGGTTACTGTCGCAGTTAAGAAGGCGATAGCAAATGATGGAACTGTTCCAGCTGCGCTGCTTCGCATGCATTTTCATGACTGTTTCATCAGGGTTTGTTTCAGCTCCTTCGATCCATCTTCTTCTGCTAAAAACTGTCTTAGCTCCATTGAATTTGTTGAAAGTTATCAACTTTGTTCCATGATATAAAGCTATAGTAGAAGAAATTGATTTTTTTGTTTTGGTTTGATGATGTGAAGGGGTGCGATGGATCGGTGCTGTTGAATTCGACGCAGCAGAACAGTGCAGAGAAGGATGGCCCTCCCAATATCTCACTGCACGCATTCTATGTGATCGACCGTGCGAAGAAGGCAGTGGAGAGCTCGTGCCCAGGTGTTGTATCCTGTGCTGATATACTCGCGCTTGCAGCAAGAGATGCTGTGGCCTTGGTATGATATTTCATTTTTTTTATTATTAATTTCTTTGGTTTTTAGTTCATTGTAACAAAAAAATTTAATTTATTAATTTGATAATTAGTAGAATTTTCATTCTTCGCATAATAATTGGTAAGCTTTTTGGGATAATTTTTTTTATTGTTTTTTAAAATAATTTTTAGTTAAAAAATTTTATCCTAAAAAATAACTTTAGAAAATATTAGGAAAGCTATCTCAAATGAAGCCTTAATTAGATTTTAATAAAGGCATCATTTGGGATGGCTTTTATATTATTTCTTAAATTAACTTTTTAGTATAAAAATTTTAAAAAAATATCTTTAAAAAAGGTTGTGAAAATCGGACCGGACATCGAACCGGAAGAATGAGAGGTTCATGGTTCGACCAATCGAACCGGGGTCGAACCGGATGACGTAATAAATAATAATATAATTAAAAATAATAAAATTAACATAGTAATAATGACAATTTATTCATTAAAATTTTATAATTCTAAGAATTTTTAGACTAAAAAATAAATAAAATTCATACATATATAATATATTACATAATTTTAAAATTAAATATAAATAATTATTATATTTATGTTATATATTTAAATATAAATAATTACTAATTTTAAATTTGCTTCGCCCAGCGAGGCCTCTCCATTGCTGACCTCGTTGCGCTCTCTGGTAATTAATTAATTAAGCACTTCATTAACGTTAATATTTAGTTAGCATTAGTATTTTTAAAGGATTTTAATCAAACTGTTAGTTCTTTTCTTAATGGCTTAAAACAATATTGCTAGATGATTAAGAGGAAAATTTGAGAATATTTATCTTGATTCAAATTTGATAAGAATCACATTTATTTTTGTTGCGTCCTGGAGTATTCGCGGCGGTAGAGAAATATATAGTTTAACGTCTTAGCATTGTACGAAGATCCAGCACACAATAAGATAAGTGAGAGAGTGTAGCGTTCATAAGAGACACCAGAGTTTTTACGTGGAAAACCCCTGAAAAGGGGGAAAAACAACGGGGTCTGGCCCAGTTTGAATGAATCCACTAGTATTTGTAGTTGATTACAAATGAGGCCCTTCTTAGGGAGAAGGCCTTAGCTTGATGTTACAAATGTACGACATATAAAACGTATTACATTATGGGAGTTACAATAATCAACATAGACATGTTTGTTTGGTTGGAAGGGCCATTGTCGGCAAGAGACAGAGGTCAGAAGGATCGTAGTCAGCAGAGCTCCGACATACAAATGTTTCGACATACAACCTCGGATAGGTCTTACATCCTTGGTGGATTCTCTCGACCTTTTCCACACAGGTTAATGTCATCGAACAAATGTTCTGACATACAACCTCAGATAGGTCTTATATCCTTGGTGGATTCTCTCGACCTTTTCCACACAGGCTGGTTAATGTCATCTAACAAATGTTATGACATACAATCTCGGATAGGTCTTACATCCTTGGTGGATTCTCCTGACCTCATCCACACAGGTTAACGTCGTCGAGCAAAGGCTCCGACATATAACCTAGGATAGGACTTCTACCCGACATCAGACTTCTTCATGTCGTCGGACTTCTGCTCGTCAGCGGACTCCTACTCGTCGTCGGACTTTTGATCGTCGACAAACTTTCATCGGTCTTCTGCCCAATGCCGTACTTCTACCCGACGTCGGACTTCTGCTCGTCAGCGGACTCTTACTCGTAGTCGGACTTCTGCTCGTCGATGAACTTTCGTCGGTCTTCTACCCGACGTCGGGCTTCTCCTTGTCGTCGGACTTCTGCTCGTCAACGGACTCCTACTCGTCGTCGGACTTCTGCTCGTCGATGAACTTTCATCGGTCTTCTGCCCAAGGCCGTACTTCTACCCGACGTCGGACTTCTCCTTGTTGTCGGACTTCTGCTCGTCAGCGGACTCTTACTCGTCGTCGGACTTCTACTCATCGATGAACTTTCGTCGGTCTTTTACCCGACGTCGGGCTTCTCCATGTCGTCGGACTTCTGCTCGTCGACGAACTTTCGTCGGTCTTCTACCCGACGTTGAACTTCTACCCGACGTCGAACTCCTACTAGTCGTCGAACTTCTGCTCGTCGACAAACGTTCATCGGTCTTCTACCCGACGTTGAACTTGTACCCGACGTCGGACTTCTCCTTATCGTCGGACTTCTGCTCGTCAGCAGACTTTTGCTCATCAACGAACTTTCGTCGGTCTTCTACCCGACGTTGAACTTCTACCCGATGTCGGACTTCTCCTTCTCATCGGACTTCTGCTTGTCAGCGGACTACTACTCATCATCGGCTTCTCACTCGATTGCTAATTGCAACGCGCCCTCGAACTCTCTCCTTTGGCTCCACACTCGATCGTTGACTGCTAATGGGCTTCAACTCGATCGTCCATCGCCAGCAAACTTCCGCTCAAATGGCGAAGAAAAATCACGTAACTCCTGCACGCGAGGAGGGGCGCTAATTCGAGCAAGGAAAATTTCACACTCGCAAATAGCGGGAGCCTCAACCGTCAGAAAGCCGTGGGGGGAGGAAGAGAAATCCCGTAACTTCTGCACTTGATGAGTGGCGCTAATTCGAGCATGAGAAATTTCCCGCTCGCAAATAGCAGAAGCCTCAACCATTAGAAAGCCGTTGGGGAAGGAAGAGAAATCCCGTAACTCCTGCACGCGAGGAGGGGCGCTAATTAGAGCAAGGAAAATTTTCCACTCGCAAATAGCGGAAGCCTCAACCGTCAGAAAGCTGTGAGGGGAAGGAAGAGAAATCTCGTAACTCCTGCACTCAAGGAGGGGCGCTAATTCGAGCAGGAGAAATTTCCCGCTCGCAAATAGCGGAAGCCTCAACCATTAGAAAGCCGTGGGGAAAGGAAGAGAGATCCCGTAACTCCTGCACGTGAGGAGGGGCGCTAATTCGAGCAAGGAAAATTTCTTGCTCGCAAATAGCGGAAGCCTCAACCGCCAGAAAGCCGTGGGGGAAGGAAGAGAAATCCCGTAACTCCTGCATTCGAGGAGGGGAAGTTTCCCACTCAAAAATAGCATAAGCCTCAGCCGCCAGAGAGCCAGATGGAGAAAGAAAGAGAAGTTGCAAATTTTCTAAAGGCCTAGGAGGCATATTTATACTTTTTTGGAGAGAAGGGGGGAAGTTTCTAGAGTTCTCCATAATTTTTGAATTTTTCCGAATTTTTTTCGAAATTTTTAGGAATTTTTTGAGACTTTTTAGTAATTTTTTGGGCCCCACACGCTCAATAAAAAAAAAATTAAAATTTGAATTTCGGCCAGCAACTACCGGCCAAACCGCGCGCCCCTGTTCGGTCGTCAATGTTCCCGGGCTCCGATTTTTAGCCCGGACGGACCAAATTAAATGTTTTTGGGGTCCTTAGACACGTTTTTTGACATTCCAGACTCGATTTTGACACTTTCGGAGCTCAATAGGGTCTCTACGATCAAGTTTGAGCAAGCATTTAATTTTTTGAATGCAATTTTTTACGTTTCGAGTAAAAAAAATTGTCGACGCATATATTTTCGGACTCCTTGAGCTTCGACGTCCGAAAATAGGGGGGCAACTAATACGTTATCACAATATTATCTTGATTGGGCATGAATCTCAAGGCAAAATCAGTTCGGAAACTTCAAAAATTAAATTCGAGAGCATATGAACTCCGATTTCAACGAGCTTACAATCAAATTGAGCGTATCGGAAATATGAATCCAACGACACCAAATTTGACCCAATCCGAGTCCAAATGGGTCCGAATCAAGGACCCGAAGCGTTGTTGGAAGATTCAAACCACAATTTCAGTTACCAAACGGTCTTCGATTTTAACGAGCTTATACTCGAATCGAGCGGCTAGACGAGAAGAATCCAACGAGCCTAAGATCACTGAATTCTGACTTCATTAAGATCTTCAAATGTCCAATAAATGGTGCATGATCAAAGGATTCGATATCGGTCGTCCATTCAAACCACTCCCAATTCGCCCATTATCTCACACCTATTTACGGGCTATGCCACTCTAGAAAAACTATAAATATAGCCCTCATTCTACACAAAGGGGACTCAAGTAAGAGAGAAAAGAAGAAGAGAAGAAGGAGGAGAAGGAAGAAGCTCTTCCTCGACCACCAACTTCCATGTGATGCTGAAATTCTTCCCAATTTGCAACAAAGTTCCCTTCTGACGTTGAAACTCCGCCCAAGTGAAGCTGGAGTTCTCCTTTGCCACCAACAGACGTCGGACTTCTACCCGACGTCGAACCTTCACTCTTTGCCAAGTTTTCTACCCGACGCCGGACTTCTACCGGTTATCAAAAAAAAATCTCTTATTATTACAGACGGATTGGAAATTGAAAATTTTCCCCAAAAAATGTGAATTTTCGACGGAAATGTAGTCGATGGGTTTTCTGCTAAAAACTTTATAGCAGTTTATCCACCAAAAATCCCGTCGATAAGTTACCGGCGGAATATCTGACAGTTACAATACCGCTACTACTGGCGGATAAAATTCCGTTAAGATTTTTCTGTGATGCTATAACAACTTCATAAAATATTGCAGTCGTCTTAAACAGATCCTAAATCTTGGTGATCAACATATTGGCCAAAATTTTAATAATTTATGAAACATTTTCATTATAAAAATACATAATAAAAATTTCAATAAACATAAATCACTTAATTTCAAATTAAAACATACTAATTAAAATTTTCTCCAAACTGAATAAATTTTCATGCCATGCCACCATTGACATTTTTCATCCATGCAGGAGGCCACACTCTAGGTTTTGCGCATTGCTCCTCCTTCCAAAACCGGATCCACAACTTCAACCAAAGCGTCGACGTTGATCCCTCCCTGAGCTCTTCCTTCGCCGTTGGCCTCAGAAAGATCTGCCCCGCTCACAACAAGGTGAGGAGCGCCGGCGCCGGCTTGGACTCCACCGCCACCATCTTCGACAACGCTTACTTCAAGCTTCTTCTTCAAGGGAAGAGCCTCTTCTCCTCCGACCAGGCCTTGCTCACCAACCCAAGAACTAAGCAACTAATCACTCAATTTGCGAGCTCTCAGGCGAAATTTAACGCAGAATTTGTTAAGTCGATGGTTAAGATGGGCAGTCTGAAGGGAGGGAAGGAGGTGAGGCTTGATTGCAGGTTTGTGAGGTGAGGGAAAAGGGGCTGTTTTGTAATTTAAATATTGTGTAGGGAGGGTTTTGCTTTTTTGGTTTTTGTTTGTGAGGGAGAAATAATGGTGAGATAGCAACAAGTTAACCTTCCACTTTTTTTTTTTAAATAAAGTTAAGGCTTATAGATAAAGTCTTTTAATGTTTCAAGATTTATCTTCATAATTTAAAATTTTATATTATAATTATATTCTATTTTAGAATAATCTTCCCTTTGGATGTGATATGAATTTTTTTTTATGATAATATGTAATGCAAAAATATTAGATAAGTAATGTGTTAGGAATTCTCATTGAAAACATAGTTAAAATTTATATATTAATGTTTATTTAAAAATTTAAGATTTATTGTGACAAATAGATCGTAATTTCAACATGCAAAAGTTCATATAATTGAGGATATTATGAAGTTTATAACTAATTGAAAATTTCAAATTTCAATTGCTTCTACTACTATGTGGTTCTATTGCATATTTCTCTTAGATAATTTTATATTGCATTACCTTATGGACTTGGCTTCATTTGGGACGGCTTTCTTAATACTTTTTAAAGCAATTTTCTAATACAAAAATTTTAATTTTTTGTACTAGAAAGTTGGTTTAAGAAACAGAAAGAAAGCAGTCCCAAACGAATCCTTAGTTTTAGTCGTATGTTTTCATGTGAACCTTTGTCTAAAGAGAGAGGTGGGACCACCAACACCAATGAATCCACATTGTCACCTCTACGATCTATTGATCTTAGCTTCATCGCTTAGGTTGTGCCGCCATTGATTACGCATTTTAACTCTGCTCATGACATGAAACTTAATCTTAAGAAGTGATTTATAACTACATACTCCAAGTACATTCTCTCTACGATTTTCTTATCTACTTTCTTTCATCACATTCAGACATTCGTTTCAAGTCTAGTCCTAGTGCACATCTTGGCCTTTAAGATGGGGGTCCAATGAATCCACACCTACTTTCTTCTCACATCCTAACTTCAAATCTTTTATTTAATACACTCTCAAAATAGAGAAATTATTCTCTGCAGTCACCAAACGGTCGAGAGGCGAATTAGAACACGTCACGTCGTCCGATACTGAGCGGTACATAATAGAGGTACACAGGAAATTAATGGCATGATGCCTATTTCCTCAATGGATGTCGTTCCGTGACCGCACAGAATAATTTCTCCTCAAAATAAACATAGATCATAAAAAAGGGCTAATGATTATTCATCATTAACTTACAAATTACTAAGTCTTATTATAATACATTTACTCAATCTAAATACTCACTATACTTCTTAACCATATAAAAAACAAGTAAAAATGTTTTATTTTTACTAAAATTTTCTTCATTCAAACAAATAGATAAAAACTAATTTCAACATAGAAGTTATATGCTTCAAATCATAGAGTATTAGTGTTATAATTTAAAATAATTAACACCCTATTATAAGTAGTTGAATTTATGAACTTATATTTTATGAGCCATAGATAAATAATTGAAGCAAAAAAGAATGAAAAAATTAGATCAAAATAGTCTAATTCAAAATTAAACATTAAAATTATTAAACTAATTATAATAAATAAATTTAATAATTAAGTATTTTATTTGACCCAATTTTGTTTTAGTACATTTATTTCGGTCACTTTTTGGGTTCTATTTTCAGTGTCCTATCACCGCCGCCGACTCCCCCCAGCCGTTCTGGAAGCTACCGCTGTATTCGCCGATAGTATTTATTTATTTATTTATTTCTATTTCCGATCCAAATCTTCTCTCATCTGATTCAGGCCGCTGTCTTCGTGATCATCATCCATGGCGTTTGCTCAGTTCCTAGGCTCCCCTGTCTCACCGTCATTCCAGTTGTCGGCAGCTGACCGGCACTTAATGCAACGCCCATCATCTCTTCTTGCTCCGCAGGCCGGAATAGCTGGCCACTTCTCCTTAAAGAGAACTCTGCGAAAAGGTAGCTTATCCATTTGGCTGTTTGATCTTTCATTCCCCATGCAATTTCTCTTCGCTCTTCTGTTTTTTTATACTTCTAGGTTTCTTATCTGTTGGCTCTTAGTTGATGGTTTTGGTGAAATTTTGCAAGTGGTGCTCAATGGCTCAAATGCTTCTGAGCATTACTAGGAATTTAATTGAGTGGGATGTAGACCATTTCAAAGATCTATATATTAATTAGGATGGAGGAAACTTCGGAATTTTGTTTGATGGTTTCCCAGATATTGTTATCTTTTTTTGTTGAATGTGTTGCTGTAAGAAGTAGCAGAAAGCCCGCATTTAAAATAAAGGGATGAAATATGAAGGCCGTCCGACCAATCAAATTTGTTGAGGAGCTCCCGTTGAACACCTTTGTCGGTATAGGAAGAATACTATCTTGAAAAGGAAACTTGAAGAAAAACGTTGAAAACTTTGCCTGTATGATTCAAAATTAGGATGAGGTTGCTTTCAATAGACACACTTCTGCTGAATTTACCGTTCTGTAGTGAAGGAATTATAATGTGCGGACTACATACATGGCTCTGTGGCGGATAAAGGAAATAAACAGATGTGTATTCACTTTGAAGTCACCATCTACTCCTAAAATAATGGCGTAAACAATTGGCGCACATATGTGTACTCTTTTACTTCGCACTTAGCTGCAGTACGTAGCCTTCACCCAATAATTTCTTCACTGCAGTGTCACTAGAAGCCTGTCTATGGTAATGACATAAGTTAGCAGATGGTTTCTAACTAAAGGATGTTCTCTATTATATTCAATGACAATAATAAAAAGGTATTTTGTAAAAGAGGAAACCCACTAATTAATTCAACTAAGGTGGATAAACTTCACTCTTAAGACGACTTGTTTGAACTTGTGAACTCATCAAGCTTTCTTTTTCAACTGGTTTGTTACAAATATAACTAATTTTTTAGGATTAAAATAATCTTACTTAAAGTCAACTAATCTTCTTGCATGAATGAACCACCTCAAGGTGAGCTTGCTCATACTACCCGATTGCTTTGCGTTCAGCAAAAGATAGTGCATGTATAAGTGGGTTATCAAGAGGAGGGGAAGGTGACGTGAGTGTGGAGAAGAGTATTATATTTCATTTCATAATGTTGTGTTGTTATATTGTTTTATTTTTTGCAAAATAGGTAAGTTTGAAATAGATTTTCAAGATTATGAAGCCATGAATTTGCATTTGCTATTTAGGTTTATTTATTTATTTTTGACATGTAAGACTTTTTTTAAAAGCAATGCCAAAGAAAGGGATTATCAAACATGTCCTAATAATTAGGCATAGATGTTGCAGGGGAGGCGATATAGAATAAGATTTAATTTAATGTCATTACTCATTTTGTTTCTTAATCTTGTTCTTCTCTTAAAGTTTCATTTGAATTGCTTGATCTTTTTTTTTTTATTTGCCCTTAGTGGAGAGAGAATGAATTGTGAGAGAGCTAGGGTGTTTTAGGGTGAAATGACATAGAAATTAGAAAGCTAGCTTAGGGGAAGGCTTGGTAATTTTGTATGAAAATTGAAACTCACTCAATAATCAATTGGTGGCTTGTAAATATTTAGCTGAAGAATGTTGCAAGATGGGTTTGAATCTTCAAGTTCTACTTTGAGAACCAATGAGCATATTGATTGAGGTAGAGCTCTTTAGTGCTTCTTTATGCATATATATACACATGCGTGTTAAGTATGTGTGTGTGACATCTCATCGAGGAATTTAGACATTCCTTTTGGAGATATATTTTTTGCTGAAAAAGAACTATTAAGTAAAATGGAATACAATGTAAAGTGAATATAGTGCATCATAGATATCTAGAGTTGTTTAGTTTAGTGTAAAGCAAATGTAGGAGATCACATATTTATGTTTGGTTTGAAGAAAAATGAATTCAATGTATTGCTTGGCAGTGGTGCCCATCATTGGCTGGCACAATTCTGACGTTATTCATTCATTCTAGAATGGTGGTCACCATGTTGAGGTAGTTGAATTTGCATAAGAGCAAGGGGTTGACATATAGAGATTTTTGGTTGTGATGAATGCACAATATAGATATATTGAGTCAACTTGGGTATCCTTAGTGTTACTTTGTCGTTCAAAGTTATCATAGTAGTTCATGGCTGGATACATTGCATGCCGTCATAGTTAATCTTGTCAATGGGATGGTGAATATAAAAGGGCTTTCTCAAGAAAGTATTAACATTGTAGGAGTGCCTGTGAAGAGGTTTGGAGCTGATTGTTAGTTATGCCTGAACGAGAAAGGCTGTTTGGAAGCATAGAACTTGTACAATCTTTGTTTCTGCGGTTCTCAATGTTCATCCACAGATCTAAATTATTTGCTTTAATTACTTATTCTGATTTATTTTTCAACTACTTCTCGACTAAATTTTCAGTGAGGGCTGGGCAACAAGAATCTGGTGTTAGTTTATCTGCTGATGCTTTTGCAAACATCAAGCATGTTCTTCTTCCAATTACAGATCGGAATCCTTATCTTTCAGAGGGAAGCAGACAGGTTCTTTCTCACGCTTCCTACATGACCTTAAGATAGAAGAGTGTTAATTATACTTAAGATAGTTGCAATCTTTTTCTTTTTTCTTTAATTTATTTTTATGAACCTTGGTGATTAGTTCTATGTTTCCTTATGCTAAAAACTTGTATTATAAGGAATGCTATGGATAAACAAGTTATTTTCTGAATTGATTTTTTAGCTATTGCATATTATATATTTAAGTCCTTTCCTTACCATGTGCTATATGACATCCTGCTGCTTAAATTTTATGTCTAACTTGATCAATTTGAACATCTTTTAGATGATGTGCTCTATCAGTTTCCAAATGCTCAACATCTTCCATTCTGATGCTTCAATTTTTTTTTAAAAAAATTATTTTACATTTGCTTTGCTTTCCAAATATCTGCATACTATAATTTTGCTGTGTGCGGAAACATGCAATAGAAACCCTTATCATGTGCGTGCACTTCCTCCACCGTTCACTATTATGTTAATGGTTAACTTGTCCATGCTTATGAGTTGCGGGAGAGTTGCAACAAGTTAAATTTATACAACACAACACAATATTACAAAAGAAAGCCTAAACTATAAGATGCACCAATTTAGCTCAGTATTCCCTGCATTTGTGCTATCTAGATTAACTCTTATATTGCAAAACGGGATGACTAAGTATATTTTAGTTATTAAAAGTCATGCTTTTTAAAACCAAATGAATTATTTGGGTGTAGAATTTTTCTGTACCTTCCTGACAAGGCACATAGTGATGATCTGCTGCTATCATAGTCTGTTTCTGGAATATTTCTATGACTAAACAAATGTGCACTGGTCATCTGGCTTTAATTATAGTTAGAACAGTTTTAACATTACTACATCCTGTATGCTGTAACTCCCACCAGATTAGAGTGATAAGTTTCTTTTCACTCTATAGGCTGCAGCAACCACTGCTTCTTTGGCAAAAAAGTATGGAGCAGACATTACAGTGGTTGGTAAGCTGATCAAACCTTAATTTTGACTCTTTTCTGTTTATTTTTACATTTAGTGTTTGAGAGCTGTTCTAGGGAAAGGTACATATAATTGCAGGCTTTAAAAGTTAATAATTTGATATTGCTTTACAGTTATTGACGACAAACCAAAAGAATCTATCCCAGATCATGAATCTCAGTTGTCTAGCATTCGGTGGCATCTTTCTGAAGGTACAATTCTTTGGATCCAATCAACATTAAAAAAAGAAAGAAAGAGAACTACAAAAAAGAAAGCCTTACGTTTGACAAAAATCCTAGTAGGAATTCCTTGCATAAATTATATGGACAATTCCTCAAAAAAAATTGCTCGGGACAGCTTTCTTACTGCTTCTTAAAGCAGATTTTTAGTATAAAAAATTTATTTGTCGCACTAAAAAATTGCTTTAAGAAACAGTAAAAAAGCAGTCCCTCACGAAGCCTAAGGCTTCTTTTGGGACGGCTTTCTTATTGCTTCTTGAAGTAGCTTTCTAATACAAAAATTATTATTTTTTCTACTAAAAAGCTGCTTCAAGAAGCAGTAAGAAATCCATCCCAAACGAAGCCTAAGTCTATACTGATTGAGATTTGATGTTGGATTCTAGACAAAGTTGATCTGTAAATAATATTTTTTGACTTGGGTAGAAGTTCATTCCCTAGAATAAATAAATCTTGATATTTTTAAGAATTCAGGTGTTATTTTAATTTTTAACGTCCGAAATAATGCCTTAATCTTTAGAAGAGACTCAGGCTTCGTTTGGGACGACTTTTTTATTGCTTCTTAAAACAGAATTTTAGTATAAAAATTTAAAAAATGATAAAAAAAGTCGTCCCAAGCGAAGCTTTATCTTCCACATACATGAATTTCGATGCAAATAAGGGTCCATAAGGTGCGTTTTGAGGCATTCGCCATCGAAACTCTCCGAGGAAATCCTTATAGGAATGCAATCAATTTGCATCGAAATTTAAAAATGTTTAAGAACAATTTTTTGTTGTCGTAAATAATGTAACAATTAGCTTTAGTTGAAAATTTCAGCATTTATTATTACAATAATTCCTCATTGTTGCTGATATTTTATTTATCGTGTGTTTATTTTAATTATTCTCTTCATATGTTTATATATAAGCACATATTTGCTTATATGAGTAAAAATTTAATCCTTCTATACCTTCTATAACTTTCTACTAGAGATTGATATTTATTTTCAGATATGAAAATTGATTTAAGTTTTTTTTTTTTTTCCTTCTTTTGTACAGGCGGATTTTCGGAATTCAGACTTCTGGAACGACTGGGAGAAGAAAGGAAGCCAACTTCTGTGATCGGTGAGGTTGCTGATGACTTAAATCTAGATTTGGTAGTTTTGAGCATGGAAGCAATCCATTCAAAACATGTTGATGGCAACTTATTAGCAGAATTCATCCCCTGTCCTGTATTGCTCCTGCCACTTTGACCTGCCCTGTTTATTACTTGTTTCAATTCTCTTTTCTTTTGAATCATTTACAAGGAAAGCTTCCTTACCCTTTCAAATCCAACAAGACAGACACTATTAGCAGAGGTTATGTCGCTCCAGGCTTCCCAAATCTGTCTTATAGAACTGAAGTTGTGGCCTTATAATAAGCTATTTCCAGATTATTCTGACATGTCAATTGATCATCAATTCTTCATTTTTGTCCAGGAGTCAAATCTGGAGGAAAGACTCAAGTTGGTTAAAAACTAGATGGAATGTATATATAATATATTAGGAGAATCTGCTAAATGTTGATTTCTATATGCATCTGATTCAAGTGTGAGCATTATTGTGGCAACACTTTATTTTAGTGGCACATTAGTAAGATCCAAGTCACATAAAAAGACTTGGTTTGGTCACATAAAACGGTGGCCTTCCGATGACCCGGTTAAGAGAATAGAGGTATTAGATTTGACTTATGTTAAGAGAGGTAAAGGCAGACCTAAAAAGACTTGGTTAGAAAATATTAAGAATGACTTTTCTTTATTAGATTTAAACGAGAATTTGACTTTTAATAGGACTTAATGGAGGAAAAATGATTCATGTAGCCGACCCAACGTAGTGGGATAAAGGCTTGATGATGTTGTTGTTATTAGTAAGATCCAAGTCACAGACATTGGTTTTCTTGGTGAGATGTGGCTGTGGGAAGGAAAATGCTTGGTGTAGACTAAGGGTGCAACAGCCCGACGATACCCCCACCAACAACGTAAGGTGTAATAGAGAAAACAAACATTCTTAATTCTCAACATTTAATGCTTTTAATCATTTTCATGTATATTCTGTCTACAACATAGCACATTATTTAAATACATGGAAGCATCTACAAAGTTTAACTTTATCATAAATATCATTACAGAGCCGTTAAGAAATTCAAAACAATATAATGATAAATTGTGTACATATCTCTGTTGTAGACTTAAATGCAACACTAATATTGCTCAGTATAGCTCGGTATAATTCGGTATTGGGTCTTCACGTGTTGGTATTCTTCGTTATTGTTTGGTATTGCTCTGTATTTGCTTGGTATTTCTCATTTTTTGACGCGATTTGGCCTCCGACCGGACGTTCCTCTAGGTCTGGTCGGAGGACGTAATAATTGTTCGTGAATTTGACACCTCGTACCCTTTTTCGTTTATAAATTTCCTGTGCAATTCATCTCTCCGTTTCTATAAATTATACCTGCAGTAAATTGCGTCAAAATAGTTTACCTCGTAAACATTTTCTCCTCTTCTCATATACCAATTAAATTACTACATTTGGGCGTAATCTTATTTAGAAATTTTTATCATTATATTTGAAATTCTATAAAACAACTGAAAACTTTATAATACAATCAAATTACTTAACTTAATTTCTCTCTCTTCTTCTTCCTCTAACTTTCCCTCTTAATCCTCCTAAATCAACAAATCTCTCTTACAACAATCCACTCCCATGGCCTATTTTACTCCATGTTTTGCACATCTACTTAGGGCTGCAAGCGAACCAAACATTTGACAAGCCACTCGTTGCTCAGTTCGATTAAAAGCTCGTTTGTGATCGTTTAATTAACTAAACAAATAAACTTGAATAGCATTTTAAGCACTCGATCCTTAAATAAACAAGTTTGAACACTAATGTGTTCGATTCATTTTTGTTCACGACAATATTATTTGAAGCTCATGAACAAGCTCGACATTAAGCTCGATAAGAAGCTTGATAAAAACTTGATAAAAATATATTCATATAGATTAATCATATTTTCATTTTAAATAGACATCTTCTTTTATCACAAATGAATTTCATTTAATTTTATACCTTCAATTGAATGAATTTGTTTATGAATAAGTGACATTTTACATTTATCCATATTTGCTAGATTGTTTGTTTAAGATGTTTGTGAACAAATTTAAGGTTTATTTGTTCAATAAATTATTTGCTAAATATGTTCACAAACATAGCTCATTAAGATTTGTTTGTTCAAAGCTCGATAAGCACTAAACGAACCGAACATGAATCAAATATGAACACCGATAAATTAAACGAACCAAACATGAACACAAACAATAAAGATCGAATCAAACATGAATTGAACTTGAACAAGGTAATAATAAACAAACTCAAACATGAACACTCACATACGCTGCTCGACTCAATTCGTTTGCAGCCCTACATCTACTCCAATCCATGATTCACAAGTCGTCTACTCCACTCCCCCACTTCCTCTGTTGCCAATAACACTCCTAATACAGACCATAGAGTCCTAATCGTGACAAGATCATAGTCCATTTGGAGAACATTTGTATTACCACAATTGAAGATATAAACCTAGCTCAATTAATGAACTAAGAGAATGTGCTAGCTTTGGTCCAAAATCAAATTGTTTATTAGTTTGCCCAAAAGTAAAATTTGGACTAGTTGGCCCACAGCTCTTGGGACTCTTATCATCATTTAAGAGGCCTCCTGAGCTATTTGTATGGCTTCATCATCATCAATAGCAGGGACGGATCTAGCTTCTTTTTTCATGGTGGGCAAAAATTTTTTTTTGGTGGGGGAGTATAGCATCCCCCCTCACTACTTAGACTACTATGGGGATCCGCCCATGATCAATAGTAAGACAGTATCTTTTCCCATTTGAAATTTGGCACCAAAGCCATACTACTTATAAAGAACAATTATATATGAATCAATCATATCTTAGAGTCTTAAGCTTCGTTTGGGGTGGCTTTTTTCCTGCTTCTTAAAGCTGTTTTTTAATACAAAAGTTAAAAATTTTGTACTATAAAGTCGTTTTAAGAAGCATGAAGAAAGTCGTCCTAAACGAAGCGTTAGACCTCTTAAAAGAGGTCATCCTTGAGCCACTAAGAACATCTATCAAATACAAGAATAAAGTGGCTAGCTTTTATAACTCTATAGTTCAACAACAATAATTGTAATATAGGGACCTTGTTCTCATAAGTTGGAAGAAATAGACAAAGTAAAATGAGAATAAGATCTTTGTTCTTCTCCTTATGTGTGGGAATGCTTCCAATTCCAATAAGTGTATTACATTGAAAATAAGATGGTATGAAAATTGACCTCAAATGAATATTAAGTGTAGTAGTAGAGCCCAACTTCTCTCTTAAGATCATGAGTTAACTTGAAGGCAAATTTAAGAACCCTATAAGAGTCTTTGTTTGCTATCTTGTTTTTTTTAGAGAGAGAGAGAGAAAGAGAGAGCTTTTGCTCCTCTTCATAAGTATAATAATAGATACCTGATTCACCCACGAGTGAAAATCTACTTGAAGACCGATGAAATTCCGTATAATAATAGTATGAGTTATCAAAATTTTTTGTTTAAAAAGTGGTTGGAGAACATCTATTTTCCCCCTAAGAGAGTAATATCAAAAGCTCCTATCTCAAAGCAAAGAAAAGTGAGGCATGATAATTTTTTTTTTGTACCCTATATTTTTCCTAAAAAAAGTATATTCCTCTCTCCCTTATGTAATTATATGCAAGATTAAAAAATTAATACTAATTAATTCAATCATCACCCTATCAAGCTGATTTCTTACAAATGCATTGATATTCTTCAATATTTTTTTCTATTTATTTTTAGCAAAAATTCAATATGCATTCATCTTCTAATAATCATATTCACTAATTTCTTATTATTCTTATGAAGTCCTTAAATTTTATTTGTAATTATCTCAATATTACATTTAAACTTAGGCTTCTTTTAGAACAATTTTTTTATTATTTTTTAAAGCAATTTTTTTACTAAAAAGTTACTTTAAAAAGCAAGAAAAAATTTGTACCAAATAAAACCTCTAAAACACTGCTTTAATAATCTGAAAAAAAAGTTATCCCAAATGAAGCTTAAGGCCTCGTTTGTTTCGGCTTTATTACGTCGTTTCCGATTCGAACCGCAAAAACATTTAGGTATCTGCTGTTTGTTTACACGCCTTTTCTATAATACATTTTCCTATTACTCCGTAATTCCACCGGTCTGAAAAGGGAAAAAATTCCGCTTACTCCGTCTAGACGAGCTTATGTAGAAAGAGCGGAGGAATCAAACGAGGCCTAAGGCGTCGTTTGGGACGGCTTTTTTATTGTTTTTTAAAAAGGAGTTTTAGTATAAAAATAAAAAAATTTGTACTAAAATTCCGTTTTAGAAAGCAATAAAAAAGCCGTCCCAACCGAAGCCTAAGTCAATTATCATTTTTTTATCACAATTATATTAATTACAAGTCAATTCATATTACTAATATCATAGCATTTGGTGATCTTATTAAGTAAAGCTCATTTATAAAGAAATGCAGCGACAACGATTTGTTGTCAATACTCAATAGTCAATACTATAACAGTGATAAATGATGCCGGGCCGAAACAGATTTTTTCCCCTGTGCGTATCGGCCGAGTCGTTCTCGGCATCGGAATCTTCCACGACAAAACCCTACGCCAAAGGCCCATCGCTGCGGCGGCGGAGCGGGAAGCGAAAGCGCGGTTTCCGGTGGAACTGTCCATTCGCCTAAATCGTCTGCTTTCGCCTCGTCAAAGAAGGCGAGAAGATGCAGTTCATGAAGGTCTTATCGTTGGCCCAACGGTCTCTTCGCGGCCTCCGTCTCCTTCCTCAAAACAGATCCTTTTCGGTATTGGCAACACCGGCTGTTGATGAAGATCTCAAGAGTGAGGTCGTTTTCTTAATATCCGATTTACTGTTCTTCAATACTTAGCTGTTTCTCTCATTTTGCTCTAACTTTACTATAGTTGTTCTCATTGATTGATGTATTTGATTTAAGGTGCTTATTGAAGGGAAAGCTAGCGCCCGTGCGGTGATCCTTAACAGGCCGTCAGCTCTTAATGCGCTCACTACCAACATGGTATTTCATTTGGTTTAATACGTGGCGTTTTTTGTTGTGTGTGTGTGTGTGTTATGCACATAAGCTGTTTGAGGTTTTGACTAGCTGAGAGCAAGCCAGACTGTTATCTCGTTTCATTTTGTTTTTTTTTAAAGGGGCTTCGTTTGAAGAAGCTGTACGAGTCATGGGAAGACAATTCTGATATTGGATTTGTCATGATGAAGGTAGCATGTTGTTAGTTGGAACCCATCTGTTGTTTCCTTTTTTTCTCCTACATTTATGTAACCTGCAAGGCTTTGAGTGTTATGCATATAATTTCCCCTCATTTATAATATAAATGATTAATGATTTCTTTCGCCAAAGTAATAAAATGAAATTCTTTTAACCTGAACAATAAAAATTAAATGATATTTTTTGGCTTCAAAGGGAAGTGGAAGGGCATTCTGTGCTGGTGGTGATATTGTAACTCTTTACCATCTGCTTAACGAAGGTCTGTACCATTCCGCTTTTAATTTTTTCTTTTTTCTGGTTGCTATGTATTTTTGCTTAAGAAATCTGTTGAAGTTCCATCTTATGCTAAGTAAGGATTTATTAGTTTAATGTGTATTTCAAGGGTTCTTTTTTAATTTTCATACTTTGTGAAGTTTCCAATTTCATGCCCATTCTTTAGTCACTAGAAATATGAAAAGATGATTTGATAATCTGTTTCAGTTCATCTAGAATCTTAACCTATTGCCATATTTCGCGTAGAACAACAAGTTGAATTAACTCAGCAATTAATGAGCAAATTCTAAAACCTAGAGGTTAAAGAGGAAAGTATTTCTTGTATTATCGGTTGCACAAAAAGCTCAGATTTTTTTATCTGTGAAATACTATTGTTGTTCATAAAGATGTAGCACTGGTGATCTTTGTCATACAAGAGCCAATGATATATGTTGAATTAACTAGTGGTTGTAACTTCTAGAAAGCAAAAATAATTAGCAATAGCATATGAAAAAAACCAAGTTTTTGATATTAGAGAAGCCAATCAGACATGGAAAGTCCACATTTGAATCTAAAAATTCAATGTGAAAGAAAATGAGTATGGGGGTAAGTAAAAGAGAGGCCTATGACATAGGGTCTGATTGTTTGCACTAGAGTGTCATATTTGCTGTTTTTTTTTTTTTTTTTTTTTTTTACACCCTCCTTTTTTTTTTTTTCTGCTTTACATCGATCATTTTCTTCTATTACCGATATACCTGTTTCTTAGGTTCCTTGTAGCTTTTGTTTAACTGTTTGTCTGGCATTACTATACCTTTTAAATATCAATTGTAATCATTATCATTTTTTTTTTTCATTTGTGTGAGACAAGTAGAGTGAAGATTGACTGCTCTGCAATTATGAATGGTTGGTTTATTCCTTTTTACAAGTTGTAATGAGTCTAATGACGACTAAATTCTTTTGATGTTAGCTGTTTGACGTTGGACCAAGGTTGTTGTTATTACTTATGTTCTCCTTGGACCTTAAAATATGCAGGAAAGGTGGAAGACTGCAAGGATTTTTTCAGGCACTTGTATACATTTATTTACATATTAGGCACCTATCTGAAACCACATGTGAGTTTATATCTTAGCAATTCATGCGTTGAAGTTTGATATTTCTATTTGTAAAATTATTATATTTATTAACTTGAATTTGTTTTAACAAATAGTTTAATTGTTGACATAATCTTTAACACAAGGTTAGGACACTAACTTACTACTATTATATGGTGATGCAATTCATGCATTGAGAATTATAGTATTAGAAAAAAATTTGATTTATTATATTTTTATTGGTGGGGATATGAGCTATTATTATACTTCAAATGATGCTTAGGCAGTTAGGCTAATGACACTATATTCTACAAATGCTTTTGATAGAAGAAAAAAGACATAACTTTAAGCCCTTTATTTTATGAGGTGCCAATTTTCTTAGGGTCAGTGCATTGATCATTTTGTTATTGGCATGCTGCCAAATTTCATGGTCACCATAGATTGGCTAAGTCCCATTCAAGGCTCTAATGCGTCTTCCAATCAATAATTTTGATTTTCGTACAAGAGATGGCATGGTGGGGATATTATTGTTGTCAATGTAATTGCCCAATATTAACAAAGCCATTAGATTTGGAGCAACATATGGTGCTAAATCACATGGTTGTTAGGTGGAGCCAATGTCACAACTATTTTGTACCATAATTTTGTCTCCTAACTTTCACTTTGTTTGCAACTCTTAGTAATGCTGCTTAAAATTATTTTATCAAGGTAGGATCTTAATTCATGCTAATTGTGTATAAAATAAAATAGTTCGTATATAATTTCATGTTGTGTATTGTTAAAAATTTGGGTCGAGATAAGTCCTGGTTCAAATCAACATAAAAATATTGACCTGGATTAATATTTTTTTAATGAAAAACTCATATTAAATTGTAATGTTTTAAAAGTTTTCGTGCCTAAATCATGTAATTATGTTCAAATTTAATGATCTTGTCCATTTCAGGTCGGGTTGATGCTTACCCGTCATGACATAAGTGTTTTTTGTGTTGTCTAATTGGAGTTGGGTTCAGGTTGGGACTTTGTATTTTCTTAGTAAATATATCTAGATCGAGTTGATTATATTTTTCTCAGGTCATTTTAGGGTTAAAATCGATCCCAACTCAAAACCTAAATTATCACCCTTAGTTTCATGCCATCTCACCCAAGATGTCTAATTTTAAAACGTCGTTTGGTTGAATGAACTAAAATAAAAGAATATTACATTCATAATTTAATAATCAAATTATTGTTCTTTCTTAGAAATATCTTTAATGATGGCATTAGAAGTAAAGCATAAAATATATGTATATTCTAATAAGATTAAGTTATCTTTTATTAGAATTTTGGCCTTTCGTTAATTTTAATATATATTTTTTGTTTTATTTGTAGCTTAATTATTTTTTCTTTGTTTTAAAAGAAAACATTAAGATTAATTTAAAAATTTTATAATTGACTGTGTTCTTTAGTATTTTTTTAATTTTTTTTCCAAACAAATTATTATTTTTATTTTTATTGGTCATAACATAGGAAACACTTGGATTTCCAAGTGTTTCTCACCAAAATCGGTTAGATCCAAGATGAAAACTGCTGTCCACAGCAGTAAAACAGCCAAAAACAGTAGAAAACAGGGGAAATCTGATAGAAAAATGAAGAAACAACTTGTATTTTACTAGTAGGCGCAAGGAAAATAGCAAAGATACAAGGATCCTCTATTCGAGAGGAGGATCGCACTCTCCCAATCTCTAGATTTCGATCTAGAGCCCTCACTATCCAAGAAGACAAAGGAAATTCTCACAAAACATGACATAACCCTAATTCCTCTCTTTCTCCCTACTTAATGCATTCTAATTCAAAACAAAAGCAAAAGGACTACTCTACCCCTCCTTCTCCCTCCAAAAACACTTAGCTCATGTTTGAATTGCAAGTGGACCCCACTCCCTGGCTCCCTCTCTCTTCCGCCCGGCCCTGTGTCCGCCTTCGGTAGAACTGGACCGGCTGGGCCGGTCCAGGTGGAGCCGGTCCAAGCTGGACCGGCATAACATAACGCCTGTTAAGGCAGTACTGAAATTATAAAAAAAAAAGCTTTTGAGGTGTGAACATAACACTTTTTTAAGGAGACATTGAACTCACTAACAAATGTAGTGCTTGCAATTGTCTTCATAATGCAACTAAGCAGCAATTCCAAAGCTCTTTCTACGAGCAAATGGAATTTTTGGGGTAGCCTTTTTTTAAATTATATTGAGAACAAATTAAATAGGTGCCCATTTTGGTTGGAACTTCTTTTGAATTTTGCTCCAACAAGGCAACAATCGAAACTCTAGTATCGATAGTTGTAATCACAACTATAAGGAGGATACATGCACTAAAATTTTTAATTTAAGATAAATAGAATTTGTTTCCAATTAATGTTTAACTATGAAAGCTATTGGACCTGATGATATTTCCATTGAGGTGTGGAAATACTTAGGAAATAAAGGAATTTCTTGGCTTACTAAATTTTTTAATAATATTTTGAAGACAAAAAAAGATACCAAATGAGTGAGAATGAGTGTGTTGATTCCTAATTTTAAGAATAAAGGTTATGCACAAGTTTGTGTGAATTATAGAGGAAATAAGTTAATGTGTCATACTTTAAAACTATTGGAGAGTTATGAAGCATAAGTTGCAGCGTGATACTAATGTTTCTCAAAGTCAATTTGGATTCATGTCGAGTAGGTCTACTATGGAAGCTATTCATTTATTGAGAGGTTTGATGGAGAAATATAGAGAGAATAAGGAGGATCTACATATGATATTTATTATTTTAGAGAAAACATATGACAAAGTTCCAAGAGAAATGCTTTGGAGAGTTCTAGAAAAGAAAGGGGTTAATAATGCTTATATTCAAGTCATTAAGGATATGTATGCAGGAGCTGTTACTTGTGTTTTCCTATTTCAGTTGGATTACATTAAGGATCGGCCCTAAGTCCATATATTTTTTCTTTAGTCATGGATATTCTCACTAGACATTTGCAAGAGGTTGTACCCTAGTGTATGCTTTTGGCTAATGACATTCTTCTTGTTGATAAGCTAGAGAGGGGGTTGAAGATAAACTTAAATTATGGAGCTCAACCTTAGAGTCTAAAGGCTTTCATTTGAGTAGATCTAAAACATAATATATTGAGTGTAATTTTAGTAATAATTAGATCTAGTGGGGGGATTATGAATTTAGGTGATCAAGTCATTAATAAGAGTACACGTTTTTTATACTTGGGCCTATTGTTCAGAGTGATGGTCAAATAGAGGGGGATATTATTAGTAGAATTCAAGTTGGATGGTTGAAGTGGAGCAATGCATCGGGCTTGTTGTGTGACAGAAAAGTCCACCTCAAACTTAGGAAAATTTCTACAAAATGGAGGTTAGATTTTTTTTTTTAATTTTTAATTTTATTTATTTATTTTCAAAATGGAGGTTAGATTTGCAATGCTTTATGGTGCAGAATGTTGCCATTATAAGAGAAGTATAATATTAAGTTAAGTGTTGCAGAGATGAGGATGCACAAGTGGATGTGTGGCTTTCCTCTTAGAGACAGGATACAAAATGAGCATATACGCGAAAAGGTTGGAGTAGCTCCAGTGGAAGATAAGATTAGAGAGAGTGCCTTAGATGGTCACCTAAAACGACGGCCATCCGATGACCCGGTTAGGAAGTAGATGTATTATATTTGACTTACAAGAAAGATAGAGTTAGACCTAAAATGAGTTGGTTAGAAAATATTAGAAATGACATTTCTTTATTAGATTTAAATGAGAATTTAACTCTTAACAGAGCAAAATGGATAAAAAAGATTCATGTAGCCAACCCCACAGTGGGATGAAGACTTGATGTTGTTGTTATTGTTGTTTGAAACCTACTGAAGTAATTATGCCAAGATATATAAATATTTTTATAAGGAAACCCATCAATGAAGTTTCATTCATATATATTTTGGCATACCATTTTATTGTTCTGAATTAAATTAGATAGTTTTTCTATGCAAGCTCTTTAGAAAACGTTTCCTGGTTTAACAATTCATACTTAAAACTCTTTCATAACCAACTTATAAGATGTCATTCCTCTTTAAGCTTGGTTATCGGCTCAAATTTTGCATGTAGGGGTTATCGCTATGTCCGACTCTAATTTTAGATAAAAAAACACATTAAACATGATTTTCAGCTTGCGGTTACATGTCAAAGCGTGTCAAAGGCACACCCATCTCCAATACGAGCACAAAAGTTTTTTTTTTTGAAGTGTAATACTTCATAGATAATGCAGCAACTAGTAAGTTACAAAGTGGCATACTTACTTTTGATAATTGTACTCGATTGTTTTAACTAAGATATTCAATTCTATTGTAACATTTACTAGATATAGATATTTGTGATTTACCCATCTGTTTTAATGCCTGTTATATACTTGTTAATCTAAAGTGTTGGTCCATGTTCATTTTACTCAATGCAGGTGGCTATATTGGATGGTATAACCATGGGAGGTGGTGGAGGTGTGTCAATTCCTGGAACATTTCGTATTGCAACAGATAAAACAGTATGCTATATCATCTCTAAACCTTTTGATCTTTTTAATTAACCTTACTATGCTTATTATCATAATTTTGGTAACAAGGATCATTTTCTTTAATAAGAATATGAGTGTTCCAATGTTAGAAACATTCATTAATTTAGAATGTTATTTATATCATAGAAAACATGGATCTTCATATGACTATCACTTGCATGTTAATCACAGTATCAAATGGCGTAACCTGTTGACATTGGCACTTCCTGGTTTATTTGAGTTCACATCTAGATTCATTTGATTAACCTGGCAAAGCTTAAACTTCAAACTACTAGCAGATAAATTTTTTACTTATGCTAGCTTTTCTTTTTAATGAACCCAATGGAATAACTCCGTCTCTTAACGAGCTTATACTAGAGAAAGACCCCAACCGAATAGGCGCTAAAAGGTGTTTGAAATATCTTATTTGAAAATGAATATGATTTATAATTATTATTACTATGATTCTTTTATTCTTGGGGCATTTATATGCATATCGCTAAATTCTATGCTATTTGTACATTTAATTCCAAAATCTTCTTCTATACTCCTATACCATCTTGCCACAAAATGCCAAGTAAGACAAACCTTATGGGTTAACCGGATGGTATATTTTTGGTATTTATAAGACTAGATAGTATAGGAGTAAATAAGCGTATTTAGGTTTTAACCATGTAACTAGCATAGAATTCAGTGGTATGTATGTAAATGCTCGATTATTCTTTTTTCCATGATAATTTTGTGTGTAACATTTCTACTGCACAAGTACGCAGCGTAGAGTTCTTGAGAAATATTAACCACATCAATATTATTTTTAATTGGATGAATATTTCTTAAATGATAAGACAACTAAATATATGTAGACCATTGTCTTGGTACTAAGGGTTATTCTCAATAGTTTTTACTTATTAATTACTTGGATGGAAAGCTGATCATAGTTGGATTTGAATGTACTGTTGATCAGAACACTTTTTAATATTTCTTCCTTTTATGTGTCTCAAGATTATCATATATTTCTTAATTTATCTTTCATGGAAAGAGTATTCTAGCATTAAATCTCAATTAAATGCGCCTTGGATACTGGAGTGGTTGCTTCCGGAAAACTCCTAATTTTTTAAGAAATTTTGTTAAAATTTTCTCAAGAAAAATATGTTTAGTGTTC